AGCCCCAAGATGTCGGCTCGCCTGCGGGTCCGATAGAGGCGTATTACCGCGCGTACCCCCTATGCTACAGCGAACGAGAAACGCCCTCGGCTGGTCCACCTCTGCGATTGCAATTGATTAGCTTTCGTACTGTGGACTGGTAGCTCGCGGGGGATACGCCCACCGAAGGGAGGTGACAACTCCCGTAAGGTGTAGGTAAGTCGTGCCTCGCGTAGGCCCTATCCTGTCGTAGGGGCTTGCGAGAGGTATGGCTGGCGCACTCGGCCGGAGCGGCTTGCGGAAGCTCCATATATATTTGCGACGAAGGGTTCTAAAAACCAACTCCTGCATGACGCGGTCGGGAAAGTCCCACGCTGCCCCCGTGCGGTGCTGGTGTAAGGAAACCCGGGGAGGAGCTACCTACTGTTCGCTGAAGCCAAGGGCTACGGTGCCTATCACTCGCCGCGCTCGCTTCAGAGGGCCTCAGCGACCAGTAGGGTCCTGGGAGTTGCTCTGCTCGTCACACCCTCTCTCGAGGATGGCTCATGCGGTTGCTCCCCGATGTCAATATATTCCCCGTTTTGCGATGATCACTATGAGTATATGGGAGCTGAGTCTAGATTCAGTTTACTGTGATCATCAAGCGTAGTATAATTAAAAACGACCCCTATTACGAGTGGTCTATCTGAGTCACAGCATGTCAAACAATACTCGTTTTACTATAATTAACACATATGTCTGAAAGTTAAACCCTGATCCGCTCCGCTGAGATCATTGAGAGGGCAAGATGGACAATCGCAAGGCAGTCAAAGCACCAGTTCCCCGTTGACAGCAAGTTCATTTTAGAGACAGATGGGAGAACGATTCACCATACTGGGGAAACAGCGTGAGCAGTTGCATACTTGAACAAAACTCAGTCCTCAGTTTTAAACAGTAATTTGATTGTCTGATCTCCTCCTCCTCGCCCTTCTTCTCTGGACTATTACTCTCTCCCCCCCTTTTTACTCTAGTCAGTCCTTCCCTTCTTCACTGGTCCCCCTTGTTCCCACTCACAGTCGCTCACACGAACGCACAAAGAAAATTCAATTGGTTGATAAGCAAGTCGCTCACTCACAGTCCTTCCCTGAGTGAGCGAGAATTACCAAAATAAAATAAAATAATTATTCACGACGACGAAATAGCTTGCTAGATCTCCCTCAGACCCGGTTCGATGCTCATGAAGTTCCCCTCTTGCACTTACAACCCCCGCGCTCCTAGATTATAGACCGAAATTCAAACGGGGTTGCTTTCCCGTTCAGTCTTTAATAGACCCGTTCGACGGTGCACACCAGTTTCTTTCGAACTTACGAACTTTTTGTCTGCGGTCTTCCAAGGTCTGCAAATGAGCCTGATTCAATGGATCTGCTAACCAACAAGAAGATTTTTTCGTGTCCTGTTCAACTGCTGTGTGTGTGTATGTAGGTGCTTGTCTCTGCCACAGTCTTCGATTGTCAACATTTCTACTTCTTTCCTTCCCTCCCGGTTATGGCATGATCTTCCTCTTTCACTGCGCACTCCCCTGTTCCCCCACTCTCATGCTCGAATCACTGACGAAGTTAAAATAGGCTCATGCCCGTCAGTCTCATCACGTACACCTATTCATCCGAACCTGGTCGTCAGGCGAGACCAGGTGCATGTCAGATTGCGGGTGCTCAATGACCATCTCTATGTCTGTTTCTCCCAGAGTCCGTGCGCGCGTGTATGAGAGTGTGCGCATCTGAGTGCGTGTGTGTTGAGCTTGCTCACAGATTGGGCGCGCACTAGACCGCTGCCCCCTCTCGCTTCCTGAAGGTAAGTGCTCGAATCTGCAGCTAAATCGTGGGATGATGCACCGACTTCCCCTGTGCAAGTACCCAGACCCCCCCCCTTTTTTTTCTTTTCTCACGTGATTAGCATAGATCCTCCGCTGGGGTATGGAGATACGCTCTTCAGTTGATACAAAAGAAAAAAAAAACGTGATGATTTCCTCTATCTTCAGCGCGATGTGGCGCGTTCACTTACCAACCGAGTGAGAACAGTTCCCCAACAAGGGCTCGGAAGGGCTCAACACGATATAGTCACTGCCCCGTTAGATATCTCGCCGAAAGAGGATAGAGTTACTCTTCTTCAAGTAGATGGAGGCTCGCACAACCGTAATGTATTCCCGCAGTGGTTTCTCGTCAGCATCACCATCCCAACTGGGAATCAGGCAAGCTGTTCGTGGAGCACACCTGGCGCACTCCTTTTTTCCCACCCTCTTCTTCTCTCCTCTTCTGGATTTGTTGGACACAAATATGACCTGCTAATGCTGGTGCGTGTACATGCCACGTGTTCCTTACTCTCTTTTCCTCGTCCTTCCCCTGCCTGCATTCGTCTCTCTTGTCGTTCGCCCAACCGGGCTGTATAAAAGAGCAAGCTGGCGGCTGAGCACACGTGGCTCCCCTACTTGCTTTCTCTCCGTCCCCCCTACGCCATTGCTCCCTGCGCATGCACGTAAGTCAACTGAGCTCATTGCGCTCGCCTCTGCCTGTTCCGAACCGGGCTGCAAAGTGGGCGGTGTACACCTGGCAAGCCGTCCACTGCGCTCTTCCGCTCTCTCCCCCATGCCTTCTCGTACTCACTTCCTCTTGCATTGCACACTCTCCTCCCCCACACAGTCTCTCTCTCCCTTTGCTCAGCCTCACTCTCTCTCCCGGTGTCTGACCAGTCTATCTAAGGTAGTAGCTGGGAACGCCTCGCACACACCGTCTGTCTCCCCCCTGCCATTACTCACACGCCGTGACCGCCCGAACATGGACGCCTCAGTCTTGCTTGCAAACGCGTCTCTCCCGTCCTTACTCCGCGGGGACACCTTGCACTCCTCCCTCTGCCCCAGCACTTCGCCGACCGTGCACGCTTCCCTCTGTTGCATTGACTCCCGCCGCATCCGTACTGTCACGTGGGCTGGGTACACCGTGCATACCCCCCCTTGCTCTCTAGTCCTCTTTCCCTTTATGGTTTTCCCGCACAGCTGAACGTGGTCTCTCCTCCTCCTCGTCCAATCCGTAGGCCTTCGTAGGCTGAGGGCAAAAGCAGGGCCAGGCCCAGCACTGGTACAGTGGAACCCATATACAGTCTCAGCGGGACCTGCAACTGAAACCTGCTGTAAAATGAAAGCCAGATACTTCCGTATGGCAGGTACCCGTACCAAACTTGCCTCTTTTACGCTCGAAAGCCAACCACGGTACTGAAAAGCAATTGTATTGTACCAGTTACCAACACAAAAGACGAACCGTCGTCCAGCTGTTGCTCCCAACACCCAGTTACCATGCTTGTTCCGTATTTGTCCCGGATCAGAGTGTCGGGCCGAACGAGAAATAGCCACTTGACAATTCTGAGCTGCCAACACCGAACCTGAAAGTGATGTAGTGATGTGTACCATACCGATGCCGGATACCGTAGAAAACTGAAAAGCCACGGTAGTACCGAACCTATTCCGGACCTGAAACAACCATCCCCGAGCCTGAAAGAAAAAAGCAGACGCGTGTGCCACTTCGGCGCCGAGCCAATGCCGTGTCAATACCGAACCCGAAAAAGATCTGCGGCATGTACCTAGGCGATGCTAAACCAACGCCGAACACGTGACAACCGTACCCTGCCAATGCCGGACCAATACCGAGCCAACACTGAATCTGAGAACACGTCAAATGCCACACAATACCGTGGTCCCAAAGCTGAAATAAAGCGCCATAGTGGCACCAAATGTGGAATAAATGGCCGCAGTGATGGTGCTGAACCTGGGTTAAATATCCGTGATAACGCCGAACCTGGGATAAACTGCCGCCAACGTCTCTAACCTGGAATAACTGTCGTAGTAGCCCCGGTCCTGAGAGTAAATCACCGTACCTGTCCCAAACCTGAAAATAAGTCACCGTTGTGAAACAACTGCCACCGGCCAGACACCATAGTACGAASCCACTCCGTAACAACCYTCGTATCCGTACTGAACCAAACACCATAGTCGACCCATGGTAACACCACCCTATGCTGTCCATGCGATCGTCCTCGGACTGTCACAGTGAAGTTAGTAAATAGGTGGATCGGGAAAGTGGCACAAAAAACCTTGATCATCAGGGATTTGGCGAAAAAAAGTTGGGATCCAGAGAAGATTGATTAATCGGGGTTCAGAGCCGGCGGTGGGAAATCCAAGCAAAATCAGGCCAACCATCGAATAATCATCGGTTCTTGTTCGTTCCATCATTTTTAATCATCCCCCCCTTTTTTTTAACTCTATTACCCGAAATAGTAAAATAATCGTAAACTTACCAAAAATAAATTCCGAGGAAGTCTTTATTAAATTGTTGAAATTCTTTGTTCCATCCCTTCTTTATCATTTTTAATCTTTCCCTTTGTTTTTAATTCCATTGCCGGAAAACATAAAAAATAACGGAGTATTTTCTCCAAACTCAAATGCTGCGAAAAACAAGGAAATTAAGGAATATTACGTTTCTCTCTTCCCTCCTACTGATCTCATTCTCTTTTCCCATCTTTGATTTAGATACCAAAAATGACAAAAACTTGAGGCGCTATTTTGACCCCGATCATACGCTGCAAAGAACGTCGCAGCGGGGTTAGTCCCCGCGATGCCCCCTCACGGCAGGCCAATTCGGGTCTAACCCTCCGAACGGCCAAAAATGACGGTTCGTTGATGTGCCGAGTGCGACCACCCATCTTGCCATTTTTTAGGGTTACCCGTAAGGTCCAGCGCGCCCCAAATCAAGGGCGCCCTGAGGCCCCCTAATCTCCGCTGCATGGTCTAACCAGAGTACCGTCAAAACTCAGACTCGTGTTCGCGCCTAAGTCCCAAAACCGTAGATTTCAGGCGGCGCATTACTTGCGGCCGCCTGACACTTAGCCCGGACCACTTCTCGACGCCCCCGTCGAGCCCTAGCAACTTACGTTAGACGAAGCGGATGAGCTTCTGGGTTATGGCCCGTAAAGGACACCCACGTCGGCGCTCAATTGTCTTATGTTTAAGTTTGTTACGAGTCCTAGGGCTAAGAAGATGCTTCTTGTTTCTCCTGCTTCTTTTGGTTTTTGGTCCCGTCACGATCCTCTTTTTCTTCTGTCTTTGCCCCGAGAAGGGTGTCGACCCGCCAGTACGTCTAACGCGAACTCTCCGTCTAGCTCGCTTGAGCACGAATATCCATCTCTTCTTTCTTCCTTAAGCTAACCCTTTGACCTTTCTCTTCTCTATTCTTTTCCTTTTCTTGGAACTCTCCCCTACCTCGAATTGGCTCAAGGGGGCTCCATCCTCCATCATGGCTTTCCCTTTCCCTTTCGGGCTGGTTAGCGATAAAGCGGGCGCGGGCCTGATCCTAAACAACTTTAACCTAGCCCCCGCCACCGGGTCCTTCCACTTAGATCCGTCTAGTTCTGCTATCATATATGCACCCCAGTCAAGTGCCTCAACCACTCTGTAAGGTCCCATCCATTTATTGGCAAGCTTTCCGGTCCAGGTCCTCTCCAGTGCCGCGTCGTAGAGAAGGACCATATCTCCTACGCTCACCCTCTCCTTCTTGATCCGCACGTTCTTATCCCATCTCTCTTTACCTTTGTCTCTTTCTACTGCCAGTCGATCCGCTGCTGTCATAAGGTTCTCTTCCAAACCGTAGGCTATCTGTCTTGTTCGGGCAGCTATGAGTTCCTCTCTGGACATCTCCTCTGCCCAGTCGACGGTCGTCCAACTGTCGACGTGAAACTCTATGGGAAGCGGACAATGTCGCCCAAACCACAAGGTGTACGGTGGGTATCCGGTACTAGCCCGGACCGTAACGTTGTCCGCCCATATTGCGTATCGAAAATATCGTGGCCAATCATTGTCCTTACCTTTGCACCACTTGGACAGTGACGCTATCAGAGTCTGGTGTCCCCTCTCTACCGGGGAGTTCGACTGTGGGTGATAGGCGGTGGCTATTGAAACTCTCGCACTCGTTCTCCTAAACACGCTCTCGACCTCGTCGGCTAGGAATTCCGCCCCTCTGTCCATCACTATCTTGCTGACACAACCATACCTAGATAAGTATTCTAGGACAAAGTTCTTTACTTCCTTTGCTGCCTTACTCCTGATAGGTCTACCATCCACGAACCCAGTGAAATCGTCTCGTATGTTCACGACGTAGTTCATATTGCTTACCCCTCTCGGCATTTTCACTAGATCAATGTGTATCTTCTCTCCTGGTCTGGTCGGATAGGATGGGTGAATTGGCTCTTTGTATTTCACAAGAGCTCTCTTCTGGCACTCTTCGCATGTCATGGAGTACCTCTCGACGTCCTTATACTGTCCTTCCCACCAGTACAGCCGGCGTATCTTTTCATAGGTTCCTTTAACTCCCCTGTGTCCTCCGACTACCCCGTCGTTAAGTTCCGCAACTATTGTCTGTCTTTCCTCGGGATCACAGACTACTCGTAAGGGCATTCCCGACCCTACTGGCCTTCGGTAAAGGTGGCCCGCTCTAAGGCAGTACTGGGCTGCTTGCCTCCGGATATCAGAATTTTAACTCTCCTCTCCCGTCAGGTGTAGTCCGATCATTCGGTACTTGCCCTCGTAAAGATTAACTAGAAATCTCTCGGCGCGTCTCGGCTCTGCCATTGTCAGAGCCCCAGCTACTATCGGGCGCTCGAGATGGATGCGTGAAAGTCCATCTGCCATAGCATTTTTAGTACCAGATACTCTCTCAACCGTGTAATCATATAGCCGAATCCGTATTAACCATCGGGCGATGGTCGGGTCCGTCAGACTAAAGTCCTTCTGGAGGACAGAGGCAACCGCGGTGGGGTCTACTCTCAAGATGAACCGTCGCCCATAGATATAGTGTCTGAACGTGTCTAGACACCGGAGAACAGCTAACACTTCTTTCTTGAATTGACTGTAGTTACGCTCAGCCGTATTAAGTGTTCTACTCTCAAATCTTAACGGTCTTTCCTTCCCTCCAACGTCCTTCTGAGACAGCAAACCACCTACTGAACATGGTCCAGCATCCGCGGAAACTATGAAGGGTCTCTCGGTCTCATCGTCAAAAAATGGCACGCCCAACACGCGTCCTCCCTCCTTAAATTCGTCTTTAAGTTCTTGCATAGCGAGTTCCTGCGAAGAATCCTAATAGAATTTTTCAGTCTTTCGAAGGAGTAACCTCAATGGCTCAGCCTTCTCCGCATACCCTCGTATGAATATACGCCAGTAACCGACCACCCTTAGAAACTGTCGGACCTCGGTTGGGCTATGTAACGGTGAAGGCCAGTTCAGAAGTTTGGCTAACTTCGCCGGATCTGCTCGGCGTCCTCTCGAGTCACAGATAAAACCTAAGATCTTAATAGTCGAGACGGCCCATCGGCTCTTTGTTCCGCTGACTGTTAAATTCGCATCGTCCAGCTGCTTGAGTACCGCACAAATATCTGTTAGGTGATGTTCGACGAATCTTCTAACTTCAGGTACAACCTCTGTCTCATCTCTGTCTACTGGCCCTTTTTCAGGAAAGTTATCTAGAAAAACTTCAACCTTATCAAGGATGAAGTCCTTGAGGACGGCTACCATGGCTCTCTGAAAAACGGCTACCCCATTAGTCCAACCCATAGGGACAACCATCATTTGAATTAGTCCCAATGGCGTATGCATAGCCGTGAGGTGCCTGTCCCTAGGGTCAAGCGGTACCTCATCATAACCTGAGAACAGATCACAGACCGAATAGATCGACTTACCTGCTGCGCCTTCTGCCAGTAAATCGGCGTGTGGCACGGAGCCCACGTCTCATATCGTCACCGCGTTGACCTTCTGAAGGTCCTGGATCCATCGAATCTTGCCATTCGACTTTCGTAGGAAGAACCATCGATTAGCATAAGCGCTATCAGACATCTCCGCAACGTGGGAAACCATCTTTTCTTTCAGGAAGGCGATAACTTCTTCCTTCTCCTTCTGGGCGTATTTCCATCCCGCGTCGTTCCAGGGAACATGTGGTATCGTGTAAATCCTTGCTGGCTTAGCGTATCGAGGGTCGATCCTACCGCGCTCCGCGTCACTGAAAGCTATTGCCTTATCACATGTCTTCAGAATTTCTATCACTCGCCCTCGCTCCTGTGGGGTCAGATTTCCATCTCCGATGTCCATCCCTGCTATTCTCTCTTCCGTTAGGCGTTGCAGCTCCTTTTTCTTTCTTTCTTTGATTTCTTTTGCGATCTCTTCTTCCGATATCCCTTCTAGTGCAGATCGCTCGCGGCCCACCGCCGCTGGCTTAACTTTCTGTGCTACTCGTTTGTGTCGCTTGGGTTGCCCCCCATAGGGGGCTGTGCCCTTAAAAAAAATACTGATACCACACCGCCAAATTCCTCATCTCTTTCTTTTGGGTACGAGTTACCGTCCACAATGAGCCGACTCCCTAAGTCTTCCACCTCCACCATCCGACCTTCTTCCTCTGTGAGCAGTGGTCCATATTTTTTCTCGCGAAATCACACCGTGCGGCTGGAGATAGGCAACGACTTAATCTGATCACTAGGTCTTGCACCCACAGCGAGAGCTGCTCTGTTCCTCGGGTCCCGAGGCTCCACTGTCTCAATCATTACCCGCGTCCCGTCTGGCTTCTTAATGGACAATGTTTGGCTTCCATCAGGTYGCTCTATCGTCACCGCATGCACGTGGCTGAGCCACGTTCGACCCAAGAGCAGGTCGGAGCTGCAGTTCTTGACTGCAAAGACAGGCAGGGTTACTCGCACCCTTTAAACTTCTATGGCTGCCTTGTGACAAACCCTAGTGATCTGTTGCTTTCTCCCATCAGCCGTCTCTATCTCGAACAGGTATGACCTATCGAGGCCCAGTCCAACTTGTACCGCCAGGTTCTCGTCTATGATGACAGCCTCACTGCCGTTATCAATCACAGCATCGAGTACCGCATCCTCGTTTATAATCGTCTCCACGGCCCCGCTACCAAGTATATAAAACTTGTCTGGAGGCACACCTTCCATTCCATCGAGAAGGTCTGTCGCCATGCGATCTGCTCTGGCAGTCACCCCAGTTACTGTCACTGTAGAAGCTTCCGCCTTAGGGGCGTGGCCCTCCCCCGATAGAGGTATGCTAGTCTTCTTCGTGATCATCTGTAACTCATCACGAGTCGGCTTCGATGCCGCCAGGTACTCCAGAATAGAGCACTGCATGGGTTGCCGAAGGGCCCGCCTCAATGGCTCGACCGTGTCAATCTCGTCCAGCGAGCTCTTCATTAGGAACTTCTTCACTCCCCGCTTTCGCGGCGAAAGGATAACCTCCTCTCCATCGACCCGCTGCCCGTCCTTCTCCGTCATCACGTAATCCATGTCAGTTTTCTTCGATGTAGACCCTCTCGCCGACTTGGTGGTTGCCACCCTTATGGGTGTGGTCGTCATGTCCCCCTCAAAGGTTATCTTGATGCTCTGGCTCCTGACCGGCTCCATTCCTTTACTCGTCTTTATTCTCCTTGCTTCGACATTATCCTTCATCGAAGGGAACATCGATACATCTCCGAGATCATCTGCCCACTTGACGTACTTGCGGTCATCAAGCACGACAAGTCCCTCTTCTATTGCCCGTTTAAGGTCCGGGCAATCCACAGAGACGCGACCCTTCATTGTCGAAACAGATGCGGGACCGACTGCCTTAGGGGGAGTTCTAATACAGGCAGACATGGAAGGAAAGGAAAGGCCCTTGCGATTTGAGAGTCGGACTCTCTGTACGACGGAGAGGAATTATTATCAGTTCAAGAGGGAGACCCTTGCTGTCCTCCACTGTCTGCGAATCTTCCGGAACTTTATCTTCGGCAGGAGGTTTATTTTGAGAGTGGATCCGACCGCCCTGGCCTACTCTCTAAGGAATTACGTTCCATCGGATCCGACGATTGCCAGATGGCTGACGTACATCTGGATGTTCAATTTTGAATTGGAACGGATTCCTGGTAGTAAGAACCGGGCGGACGGGCTGAGTCGGATCAACTGGGATAAGCAGGAAGGGAAGGCGGTGGAGAATACGCCCCCAGTTGATGGATTTCTAAATCAGGAAGAAGATGTTCGTCTTCATATCAACAAATGGTCGCCGCGAGTGCCCAGCTGTGTAGGCTATCCTATCTGGCAAGCGCCAAAGGGGTATGAAAAGAGGAATGAGATAGTCCTTAAGCCCTTTGAGGAAGAAGATCCCTGGGGCGGTAAGGATGTTCAGTGGATGATAGAGCTATCGCCGGCCAGCTCTTATAGCCTGGTGGAGGACATGAGAACGATTGAGGAAGGACCTGGCCAGGTAGAATGGCATAAGGACCTGATGGGAGGAATATATCTCCTCGTCAACACGTTATTGCAGGAAGGCCTCGACCAGTCAGGCTCGTTGAACTCGACAGGAAATGTGGACGAAGTGCCCGAGAGCCAGGACGACGAGTTCGAGGAAGGAGAGATTAAGGAGGCTTTTCGTGCAGAGGAGTACGACGGGATCTACCTAGAACTGGGGCTTCTTCTGTCATGTGGAATGCGGCTAAGGGATACAAGCGATAGGGCTCAGAGGATACTGCAGCGCTACTTAGTGCGAGACGGCCACCTTTTCGTGAGAAGAGAAGTAGGGAATCCCAGGAGGGTCGTCTGCGGTACGAATCGTCAGATCGACGTCGTAGCAGCACTACACGATGGCATTGCAGCAGGGCATCGAGGGGTACAAGCCACGTATGCCAAGATAAGTGAGTTGTACTACTGGGATGGAATGATGGACAGGGTCGGGAAATTCTGTCGATCCTGCGTGCCCTACCAGGAGAGATCCCGTTTAAGGCAGGGAGAGCCGCTGCATCCAAGGTTAGAGCGAGAGATGGGGGCCGTAGTGGATCTCGATCTGCTTTTTATGCCACTTGGGGATCAGGGCTATAGCTATATCTTCGATGCGCGCGATAACCTGTCTGGGTTCGTAGACGGGCGTGCTATTCGCACCAAGACCGGGTTACTCTTAGTGAGCTGCATCGAGGAATATTACCTGCGTTACCCTTTCGTCAGGGAATTCGTAATGGACAGGGGATCGGAGCTTACCTTTCCAGGAGGTACAAGAATTGTTATCAAGGTATGGTGTAGTAGCCAACTACACCACGGCCGCGCACCCCCAGACAAATGCTCCCGTAGAGAGAGGACATAGTACCATCACGAGTCTCCAGGCTAAGTGGACCGAAGGTAGGCCTAATCAATGGCCAAGATACCTATGGGCGGCGTTCTTTGTCGAGACCATTACAATAAAAAGATCCACCAAGCACGCACCGGCGACATTGTGGTATGAAAGGCACGCCACCTTCCCTATCGAGAGTTTTCTTAAGACATGGAGGCGCCAGGATCTGGAAGTTAACCTGTCATTTGAAGAATTGCTCGATATTCGGGCGCGGCAGATAGGAGCAATAGAAGAAAGGATCCAGGAGGCGTCTGACCAGGTGGCGAGAAGTCGTATGGATGATAAGGGTCGATGGGATCAATCTGCGCGGGTGAGGAAAGTACCCTTGGCAGTTGGAGATGTCGTGCTTCTCTACGATTCATCACTGGAGAAGCAATGGTTTAGGAAGCTCGATAAGAGGTGGTTAGGTCCCTACCGGATCGTACGGGTCGGAGACTTTGGAGCGTATCAGATAAAGGAGCTAAATGGAACTGAGTGGAAGGATAAGGTATCTGGAACGCGACTGAAGAAACTCGTGGCGAGGGAAGAGGTAAGAGAGATGCTCTGACTGCCTTTAGAATAGAAGTAGCAGGGTGTGTAGGCTAGGTAGGATGTATGCTGTGTGAGTGTGGTCTGGTCTAAGTTTGCTTGATTATCACCTGTTTTGCTTACCCCAATGTGTGTCTGTTGTCTCCTTCGCCTGTTGTGCAGGTCTGACTTTACGAAGACAGCCATGCCAAGAGGAGGGAGGGGGACACGACCGCCTCGGATGCCGTTGGGAGCATCAGGAGGATATGAGCGACATGGGCCTCGCCATCGAGAAAGTACTCCAGTATACGATGATGGGGACATCGAGCTATTCCTGGACAACTTTTGGGATCATGCGAGGCATATGGGCTGGACCGTGGCCCAAGCAATYGAGGGACTGAGGGGAGTCGGCAGATTCGAGGAGCCCGTCGCGCGGAAACGTAGAGAAGCGACGACGAGATCAGAGGTGGAGTGGAGGATGCAGGAACTGCGACCCTCGCCTGTGGGACCAGATGGGAGGCTGATCCGTCTAGAGATCGGAAACATGGCAGTCTTCATCCCTGCTTTCGAGTGGTTCATGCAGGGGCAGGGTATACCGAGAGATGAGTGGGCGAGGAYSCTACYACTCTGGACCAGGAAGGCGGAAAGGCCGCTGGCTAGCCAAATCAGAGACATGGCCCGGGACTGGGAAAGCTGCAGGGCACATCTAAGAGAGGCCTTTCGACGGCCAGAGTCCCCCCACCCCAGAGTCGAGAGACGTCAGAGGAGTCAGAGGTCGAGGGACCCTGAGCCCAGGGAGGTGAGACCATCACGGGAAGGACGGAAGGCCCTAGCCAGGAGAGAGGAGGAGCCGGAGCGGGAGCCAGAGGTTGAAGAGCGAGGGGCGTACCCTGAGTGTGGGTTGGGACCAGTGGAGTTCCATCGTTTTATTGAGGGTGGATTGAGGAGGTCACCAACACACACACGGGAGGAGCCACCAGTGTCTGAAGGGCCGTCGAGAGAGTTAGAGACGCATCTGGATATCTCTAAGTGGAGAGCGTCGCCTCAGGATAAGAAGGATGAAGAGCAAGTAGAAGGGGTGCCACGAGAGGAGGTACCACAAGAGGAGGTGTCACGAGAGGAGGTGCCACGTGAGGAGGTACCACGAGAGGAGGTGCCACGAGAGGAGGCGCAGTGTACTCAGCAAGAGAGCAGGCTAGGTGACATGGGGAGACGTGCAGGGAAGAAAGTGATAGAGGTTGGAGAGGACACACCCCCACAGGCGCCAGCAATGGGTTTGAGACTCGGGGATGCACCAGGGAGCGCTCGTCAGGCAGAGGAGAGATTGCGGAGAGAGGAGGCCCCACTTCCTTCATCAGAGAGGGCTCCATCGCCAGAGGGGAGAGCCGACAGGAGGAGAGAAAGGGCAGCTGTAAGGAGGGAAGCCTTGACCCTGATTGATAGGCACCTAGCAGCTTATGCCCTGGAGCATCCAGACCTGGAGGAGCCAGCACCTGCTGAGCCGCACCGGGAGCCATACCAACCCGAGAAGGAGATGGAAGCAGAAATCCCGAATAGGGTCGACCTCTGCACGAGGGAAAGGGCGCCAGCTGGAGAGACGGCTGAAGAAAAGAGGGCGAGAAGAACTAGCCGGATAGATGAGATATGGCAGGAGAGGCAGAGGTTGGGGGCAGCGGGGGAGCTCCCGGAGCAGCAACAGGAGAGGCAGAGATCGGAGGGAGCAGGAGCACTCCCAGGTCAGCCACCTAGCGCGCCAGCTAGGACCCCGGAGATTCCTGAGATGTGGAGAGACTTCTGGGAGCAGAGAGGAGAGGAACTTCCATCGCCAGTCAAAGCCGGGTTTGGGGTGGCCAGGAAGGCGTAAGAGAGGTTAGATCGTAAAATCAAGTTCCTGGCCAAGACCACTTTTGACCGGCACTTGTTATTGAAGGGCGATCTGACAGGGAAGAAGATGAAGGAAGCAAGCCATGGAGTACGCCTGGAGGCTATGGAGATGGAAATTCAGGAACTCAGGGYCTTGGTGGCTAGCCAGGCAGCTATCATCGAGAGCCTGAGGCAGCAAACCCAGGGAAGGGTGGACAGGCCAGAGAGCAGCAGGCAGGGAGAGCAGAGGCAGCCAGGACAGGGATTGCCWGGACAGCCAYCTGYAGCAGAGCCTCGCCAGGAGCCACCTATGGGGAGAGTTATCCTGGAGCCAGAGGAGGCGAGAGCCCAGAGACAGGCAGAGAGAGAGGCGTTCGAGTTTAGAGCCCCTACTGAGCTCGCGACGCTGCCAGTGGCGGCGGCAGGCCCAGTCGTACCTTTGGCAGTARAGGAGGGGCTGCCACCATCTAGCAGTGAGCCGGCTCAGGGCTCAGCAGAGGGATCCATGGGCGTGCTCCTTGAGGCGGTGCATACTATGCAAGAGGAGGTGAGTTTGTTTTCACCTGAGCAGAGGATAGAGGAGCCCATGGATAGAGGAGCCAGTGGAGAGTGCCATCGAGAGCAGGCTCCAGAGGATGGGCACACCTAAGTATGGACCAGAGGAGATTGAGGAGCAGCCCATGGCAGTGCCAGGAGAGACACTCGAGAGGAGACCTCAGAGGTTGGACACGCCTGAGTACGTCCCAACGACAGGGGATTTGAGGAGCAGGCTGGGATCTTGGGCTACTCGATCTTGGTCTGGGGGACCAGTTCCTGGGACAGAGCAACAGGAGGTCGTTAGTACCGCAGCTCCTCGATCAGAGTAGCAGGAGGTTGTCAGTACCTTGGTAGGATCTCCTTCATCGCCACCCCCTCAGCCCAGGAAGAAAAAATTCAAGAGGAAGATTGATCAGCTATGCTTCTACTGCAAGAGGGGCGTGCATTTGGCTCTGGACTGTCTCGAGTTCCTTGAGGATAAGGTAGTAGGGAAGGTCTCAGAGGTAGGGGGTAAGATGTATGATAGACAGGGTAGGATAGTAGAGAAGTCTGCAGATGGATATAGGGCTCAGTTATATAGGCAAAATCAAGAGGAGTTGAGGAGGTAAGGCCCGGTTGTCTGTGTAAGTGGGCGAGTGTCTTGTGAGGCATCAACTTATGTTCTGTGTGATACCCTATTAGACATAGAAGATATTTTTTATGATTGCTACTAGTCTAGATCTGAACTCTAGTGTTCCTACTGAGCTGGGATCTTGAGGATCAAGGTAATCTAGATGAGGCATGTACATATTCAGGTGGCCTACGCCCTGGCTTTTGAAAGACAGATCTGACATGTATTCTAGGGGTTGTTGTCAATATGGGTTTGGTGTAGCTTGAGTTGAGTGAGCTATGATTTGGAGACACTTTCTGTGTGAGACATTTTATTCCCTGAGTGTATATTATGATGAGGTTTTATTTCAGGGACCATTCTTATATGTGACGATCACTTGTCTCTCTCACATGTGTGGTTGTACTCTGATGAATGATGAGTTTGTGTGGACAATGTGTGAAAAACATCTTATGTGGCATGGGTACAGTGAATATGATTGTAAGCAAAACTGTCTACTCCTCGGTATACTTGTGCGACCTGCCCACGGGCAGTTGACAAAGCAGAGTATAAGGGGAGGAAGTGCAGTCCGCTTGTGAAAGGTTGTGAGGATTTTGAAGATTTATGAGTCAAGGAGGCTCAAAATGCTTACCATGTTGATTATTGATTGCTTAAGCTGTGATGAGGGCCCATGAGATGGTCTCTCGGTGATTTTGTTTATAATAAGCCCGCTTGGATTTTGGAAAAGGGGATGTTTTGTGATGTTGTGTGTTATGATGAGACCCCCTCAAAATTTTGAGAAGGGGAAGTTTGGTTTCATGGCGAGACCCCTCGTGATTTTTGGAAGAGGGGGTGTTTTGTTTTATGATGAGAGCCTCTTGGATTTTTGGAAAAGGGGATGTTTTGTGATGTTGTGTGTTATGATGAGACCCCCTCAAAATTTTGAGAAGGGGAAGTTTGGTTTCATGGCGAGACCCCTCGTGATTTTTGGAAGAGGGGGTGTTTTGTTTTATGATGAGAGCCTCTTGGATTTTTGGAAAAGGGGATGTTTTGTGATGTTGTGTGTTATGATGAGACCCCCTCAAAATTTTGAGAAGGGGAAGTTTGGTTTCATGGCGAGACCCCTCGTGATTTTTGGAAGAGGGGGTGTTTTGTTTTATGATGAGAGCCTCTTGGATTTTTGGAAAAGGGGATGTTTTTGTTGTTGGAAGACTCACCTTCAAAGGTGAGTAAACTGATTTATGGCATGGTAAGTTGTCTGATGAGTGATAAAGTCTGACGAAGAGGGTCACTTTTGCTTGGAATATTTGAGAAAGTCGCAATGAGTTCAGGGCGAGAGACGTCTCAGGACGGGTGGCTGCTGACTCTGATCAAGTCAGGGGTCACGGCCTGGTGGACCTAGCGGTGATTTTGTTTGTGAGTGTGCGTATCGCGTAGTGGCCCTGTGATGTTGTTTTGCGATGCCCCGTCTAACCACCTGTGCTAGTTCTGGGACACATTGAAGAAAGGTTAAGCTAACGGAAAAGAAGTTAGTACATCTAGGGCGTAACCCCATTGGATGACTGCTAGCCGGCGCAACCTGGCTGCGGGACCACGGGGTAAGAGTTAAAGGGGAGTTGCCCACCCAGTGAAATTACTCTGTGGGATAGTGATGATTGATAATTTTTTGGGGAATCCTGATTGAATGCTTATCAGGAGGAAACCTATCGTTGTGTAACCAACGAGGGGTACTGCCGTTAAATAACAATGTGGTGGACCGTAGTCCTGGCCTGATCAGCCAGGCTATGGTGGACCAAGATGGAGACCTAGCCTTTCTGTACTAGACTGCAGAAAGAGTTGAGCGGATACTAAGTATTTGTATATGCTTATAAAAATTTGATTTGCGAGGGATTGTTTTTGAGAAGGAAGGCGAGAGTGCCGTAAAAGGTCTCGGTTAAGGCCCGCGTCCCTAGTTTTGGCCTGGACTAGGGACACCCAATGAAAAACCGAAGGTTGTCTAGGACCAGGGAGAGGACGATTGGAAAGGTCTTTGGAACTTATGCTGTCAGTGTCCTAATATCTGGACGGTGAGAGACCCAGGTTGGAAACCTGGCAGCATATAGTTTAGGAGGCATGGTTTGATGGAGGCCTCTACCCTGTGTTGGTCGGCTAATCGGATTGGCTCCTTTCTCGTCAGCATTTGGAATATGGATGGATTTATAGCCTTCTGATTTGGCGAAGCGACGGGGACGTCGCTTAATATGGTCCGGTAAGCTGTTGGCGCGAATACCCTTACAAGGGTATCCGCCCTGGTTTTTGCAGGTGACAAAAAATATATATATATATGATTCAGAATTTTTAAGTATATATCGCGCGAATCACAGTAGTCTTCGTTGTGTATGCGACTGGATGTTTGACTAGGATAAAAAGTGTGTGGGCGCGCATGATTGAGGCGCAAGTGATCTTTTTAATTGTTGATGACTGAAGAGTTGGCGTGATCGCTGGCCGGATTATGTTTAATTATTTTCTGATTCATTTGGGATTAAATGTCTCGCCGGTTGACGTATTTGTCTGTGGCCTATGCATATGTGGGTAAACGACATCGACGACAAGGAGGCCTTGAAGTATTTTCAGTAGGCCGGCGCGTCGTGCCGCGTTCGTTTGTATTAGGCATCCGACAGAGCTAGACCCAGACTGGGGCCTAGCGCTATTAGTTACAACATCAGACTTTCATCAAAGAGATTCAGGGATCGAGACTGGGCGGCGACGACGCGGGGATATTAGAATAGTGCGAAGGGGCAGTGGGGTTGAGGGCCCGGTGGGGTTATCCCCCCCCTTTAGTTTTGCAGGCGACAAAGTTGAAAAGGGGTTATTTATTATTTTTGCCATTATTATTTTCCTACGTGTCGGTATTTCTTTGACTTAGACGCGAAGCCGGATTTTAGTGGTCGTCGCGGCAGTCAAGGACCTTGAGAACACGCCTCGTTTGACGGATCCGCGAGTTCGGGATGCCGGCGAGATCTTTTCCTTCATCCCGCCCGGCTTGTAGCGCGGACCGAGGAGTCCGACGTGCATACGAGCCGATAGATGATTAGCCCACAAGGTGGACGGGGTGGAGTGGCGCCCCCCCCCCCCCCCCCCTTTTTTTTTTTTTTTTTTTTGCAGGGTCGTCGCCCGCCGTCCACGATCCGTTGTGAGAGGTTTGAGTGTGGGCATGCCAATGGGGCTTGTGAGGTGCGGGGCGGCTCCGGGGCAAAGGCGGTAGGCTGGTTGCAGGGGGCCTCCCTCCGCCTTGGTTTTCAAAGTTTTCATTTGGATGTTTGTTACTACCACCTAGGTCTGCAACAGAGCCGATTCACCTAGGGGCCGCGCCTYGGCACACAGAATACCCGCACCCCGGCTCCGCRGCTRTTATGAGAGCCCTAAGTGGGACTTACCTGTTGCAGGGCCGAAAGGGTGGCCGGCCCAGCTTGGAAGAGAGAGGGGAGCGGGTCTGATGCCCGTCGGAGTAAAGCGCAACGGGTAGAAGTGGGCTGGCCGCGGGGGCTGAGCAAGTGGTGCCGCGCAGTAGCGGCTAGAGCAGGAGTATAGCGGAGCGACGGTAAGGGCAGTACCGGGCGGCGCTGTATAGCAGCGAGGTGGAGTGTACGGCGGGCGCTGGGGCTGTGGAACGAGGCCAGAAGAAACTCTGGTGGAGGCTCGCAACGATACTGACGTGCAAATCGTTCGTTGGACTTGGGTATAGAGGCGAAGGAGTAATCGAACCGTCTAGTAGCTGGTTCCCTCCGGAGTTTCCCTCGGGCCGACTGACTGACGGGCGGGCATTGGCGCAAGCAGGGCGAGGGCGCAAAGGCAGAGTAGCAGAGGGGGAAGGAGACAGAAGAACCCGGTCGGGTTCCTGCGCCGGGTGCRTGCGCAGCGGGAGAGCGGACGATGGGTACTGAGGCAGAAAGGTGGAGAGCCGAAGAAAGAAGGGGAGTGGGTGAGCCCAGCACAAACTGGCGGAACGTGGACACGGACCCCGCCAGGTGCATTCGCGACAGGGAGAGTGATGGCGGGGAGGTAGGTGAGGAATAGTGGGAGAGAGACGGCACGCACGACTCCCAACGGGATTAGGTGGGGGAGAAGTCGGGACTGAAGCTTGGAGGTGAGGCGATTCGAGTGGTGAAGGCGGAATGGAGAAAGGCGGAGTCTAGTGGATGGTAGGAAGATGAACGCACCCGGACGCAAAGTCGGGCCAGATCTATTCGCGCACGCAAACGAGAGCAGGAAGGAGATGGTCGGTGGAAACAGAAGGATAGCGCGCCCGTTTCTCAGCGAAAACGGGCGAATGAAGGGTCGATCCTGGGGTTTTGGCCCCGGCGAATCCAATGGTATAGTTAGTTTCAGTAGAAAGTTAGTGGATTCGGTGTTAGTAGAAAAAGTGGGTGCGGGGAGATGGCGGAGGCCGGCTATGACGTGAAGCGAGAGCTAGGAATCTCRCTCGTTTCTCACTGAGATCGGGTGAATGGAGGTGCTAGATTGGATCTTCTAGATATGACGAGTTGGATAGCATGGTTAGTTTTGTCAATGGAGAGTTGTGTGATGAGGTAGGAGAGACAAATGTTGCGTAGGGAGTGTCGGGGCGATGGTATAGAGGAGAAGAATGGCTTCTCGCCCAATTCGTGATGGAATCGAGCCGRGTAAGGTAGGAGTCAGGAGTGTTTSRGCGAGGTGAATTAGGCTATAGCGTTAGATTTGAAATTAGTGTGTTAGTGTTAGTRCCACAGGGACCGAAGGCTGCATTGTGCATGACGGGGAAAARCTACGGGGAGAAGGTTGAGAAAAGGGGATGAACCTGGTCAGGCTTTGCGCCAGGTGCATCCAGATGTTGGATGGGGGTCTTGGGACGCAGCCAGCACGATACCGAGGTTAGTTCTTGCCTTAGATGGTTGGTTTAGAGGGGGGTTGCAGGTGTTAATAGATGCGTAGGGAGCACGAGGGGAGTAGGAAGAAAACGACGTGCTCGGGCGTGTATCTTCCCTTGCTGTACGAGGAGATTCATTTCTGGGCCAAGCCCAGAAAAGCAGCGGGTAGTGCCCGAGACCCTGAAAGGGGCGTGGGAAGGATTGCGAACTGGAAACTTACCTGCCGAGCGGGCAGGAAGCTGCTCGTCGTATCAAACACGGCAAGGAGGGAGGCAAGCCATAAGACTGCGGATCTGCCCGTTTGGTCGGCGTCGGTGAGGGGAAGCAAGGAGTAAGCCATGGGTTTGTGGGCTTACCTGTTGGCCGTGCGTTGCCCATCCGGTTGGAGCGAGGAGTGAGCCATAGGACCAGACACTTACCTGAGGGCTGATATGCTCTATTGGACGGAGAGGCTGCAGGCAAACTGCTGGTGCAGACTGTGTTCCCCTCTCTTGCGTGACTCGTATGGATGTCGAGTATCGAGGATGTGACCGTCTTGCCTCCCTGACTAACGGGGCACGGCCGCGGACACCCGTGTGTAGGCTGCTGCTGTATTCAACTTGAACATAACAACAGACTGTGTACAGTTGGTCATCATGTCTTTTGGCCTACGCTTCTTAACTATTGGTCCGTAGCTGTGTACCGCTCCCGTTGCTGCGGGCGGGGGACTCAATCTACGTGCCCATGGACTGAGCATTGCGACAAGTCTATCCAGGATTCTGCGTTGAAAGCCTGAACTCCGTGCTAACCAGTTGTCTGCTCTGTAGTTGCTGTGTGTTGGCGCTCGGACTGTTAAGGTTGTCTACGAATTAGGAGTATAACTAATCTGCGGTGTATTTGGGCGCGACAAGGGGGGAATAAAGAAGGACTGTCTGGGGGCTATCTGTTACTAGGTTGTGCGGTTGGTGGGCTTAGTGGTCGATTATGGGTTCTCAAGCGCTGAGCGGACAATATTTTTGAGGACTTCGCGAAGTCACCTCTGATCCGGCATGCAATGAATCGGCGACCGATCTAGGGGGAAGACGGCGTGACTCGAAGGAGTAGTCAAACTTGGTGAAGGGGGTCATTGCTGCGAATCGGAGGGTCGCCAGAGAGTCACCCTTAGACAGTTTGACTTCGGTTGACCCAGTTGCTGCTCATTCTGGCCATCATTGCGGGGCCCTCAGGCGAGCCAAGATAACAAGACCCTTTCCCGCGAGTCAGAGTGCAACTCTTTTGTATCTGAGAGTCTCTACCTTCTACTTCTATCCTTTCTAACTCTCAGTCTAGTCCTTGGTTACGAGAGGAAGGTGGCAGGCGGGATTGCAACCCGTAGGTCCGCGTCAAGACTCTGTGGGGAGTCCACCCACCGATTGCGGGAGCTCTGCCGGAACTGAGGAGGAGTTCTGGAGGCAGGGCATCATCAGGTATTGCATCTCCATCTGTATAATCCACTACTACCCATGTTTGTCTATCCCCTTGCAGTATGATTGATGTATGCATGAGTTTGTTCCTATGATTATTGTTTCTCTTCAGGACCTAATCAGACTGAATAGAAGGAACGTGTGACAGTGAAGCCTAATTTTTTTTTTTTTATTATTATGATTGAAAGCAGACAAAGGGATAAACTTGGGGAAGGTGGGAGGAAAATAGTTTTACATGCATTTGGAAGGGTCAACCAAAGCCTGAGCATTGTTTCTACTGTGAATGGCTCAAGGCTATATTTATTTGGCTGTTTTCTGAAGGACCAGGCATTGTTTCTACTGTGAATGGCCTGGTTGCTATGTTTATTTGGTTGTTTTCTGGAGGACCAAACATTGTTTCTACTGTGAATAGCCTGTTTACTCTAGTTAACTCTGAGGGTTTGCCTGATTGAAAGGGTTTAAATTCTTGTTTATTATGAGGGAGAATTTTTGGTCTAAGGCTAAACATTGTTTCTATGGTGAATGGTTTAGCCTGAAAACCACGCACATAAATTAAACTGAGTATAAAGGAAAGTACTTAATGTATATTTGCATGTGAACTGGCAGCTGGGCAGTGTTTCTACTGTGAATGGTCCAGCGTTAAGCCATATCATTAAGAAGAGAGAAGGGAAAATACAGAGTATAAATGAAAATAGTTTGGGGCAAGATGAACATTGTTTCTACTGTGAATGGTTCAGTCACCTGCCCATATTTTGTTCTTTCTTTTTTTTCGAAAACAAAGTCAGAGAAATACTAAATCTTTGGATATTAAACAGYTCAGGGCCACTAGGCATTGTTTCCATAGCGAATGACCTAGTCATCTGCCCAAAAGAAGAAAAAAGTAGTTGTGCAACCTGTTCGTGTATATCATAAAGACAAGTTGGGCATTGTTTCCATGGCGAATGGTCCAGCTCTATGTCTTATGTAAGATGAGTATAAGGATTCAAGAACTTGAAGATTCACGAACTATTTATATGGAATGAACTTGGGATGGTGGGAGTACTTACATTGCTGGTTTGGTTTGCATGTGACTGGATGGGATGACTAGTTTTGTTTAAGTTTCATTACTATAGATAGTTGCTGTAGTTGCTCGCCACGTGCTAGAGCCATAGCAGTTAGTGTCAATTTCTGTTATTTTCTGTAATAACGTTTTTTTACTTAGGTCAATTCCTGCATTTTCTGAGATATTTTTTTATACTTGGCTTTGTATAAATCTTGGCGAGCTACTTTTTCTACGGGAAGCGCTGCCGAAATTTCTACAAATCCAAGAAGTGAGTCAACTTTTGACTTGTCAGAGTTCAACTTGTCTTTTTCATATATGGATTAGTATAAATATGGAAAGTCTTCTTTTCTGGAGGGAGTGCTGCCCAAATTTTTACTAATTCAGGGAGTTAGACAAAATTGGACTTTGAGAAGTCAAAGTTATTCTCAAATTATGGACCTCGCTTTGTATAAATTTTGGGAGAGGACTTTTATAGAGGGAGCGCTGCCGAAATTTCTGCAAAATTAAGGAGTTAGTTAAATTCAGTATAAAAGTGAAGCTCGAGCTGTTGTTCGAGTTCGTATCTGACTTAGTATAAATCTAGGAAATCTCCTTTTCTAAAGAGAGTGCTGCTCAAATTTCTACTAATTCAGAGAGTTAGACAGAATTTGACTTTCTAGAGTTAGAGATTGATTCTGCTTTCATATCTGACTTAGTATAAATCTGGGAAGTCTCCCTTTATAAAGGGAGTGCTGCCCAAATTTCTACTAATTCAGAGAGTTARACAAAATTTGACTTTCCAGAGTTAGAGAYWRATTCTGCTTTCATATCTGACTTAGTATAAATCTGGGAAGTYTCYCTTTCTAAAGGGAGTGCTGCCCAAATTTCTACTAATTCAGAGAGTTAGAAAGAATTTGACTTTCCAGAGTTAGATATTATTTTTGCTCTCATATCTCGACTTATATAAATTATGAAAAGACATTTTTCCTAGGGGAAGCGCTGCCAAAATTTTCTTAGTTTAGAGGAGATAGATTATATTTTGATAGGTGATTCATGCGATCCACCCAGAATAGGGGAGATTTTGCAGTTGGTCTACCTTCAGCTTAAGCACTGATTTAAAAGTAGACTTAGGTTTAAGTAATAAGAAAATTTTGAGTGAGGATGTATTATGGAGTTGTATTCTCCATACACTTATGATCTTAGTTTGGGGATTGGTCTATCGTGTGTTACAGGTCCTTTTGATCATTTGATCCAAGTTCAAGGCTAGATCCATGTTGATCCCTTGAGGATCACTTACTGTTATTACTGATAACAGGTCGGTTGCCGATTCGTCGGTTTACGACTCAATTTCAACTCTCCCTCTACACTCAACCTAAAAGGCTTTAGCCTTGGTGATTTTGTTGTTTTATTAAGGTTTCACCCGGACTTTTATTGAGTGGCCATTTAACAAAGGTGCTGAGTATTTAATTAAGGTTGGTTGGACAGGAGGCTTGCATGGCTAAAGCGAGGGGTATGAGCGTCGAAGGTGGTTAGGGTTGACTTCGTGTAGTATGTGGGCTGTTGATTTGGTTCGTTGATGTGATGGCAGGTATGTGCTGTGAATCAGATTCTGGATTTGGTTGCCTACGATCACACATATACGTATTATTGTGAGAGACCCCAGCGAAACCATGAGAAGTGATCGTCACATACTTGACCCTTATATATGTATACATGGGTATACTTGGAATGGATGTTTGCATGGGTTGAAGAGCGCCCACATTAGAGCCCTAATCAGAAGATGAGACTGAGGAGCTTAGGGGAGGTCTCTCCTTCTATTTTTGTTCTTGCTTTTTTTTGATGATTTTCTTAGTCGGACGTTTGGTCCTGGATTGGGATTCGAGGTCCTTGTCCAGGACATCCCAAGCCCTAGGCTGTGCAGGGGAGGGGTTTTCCCTCGTGCAGAGCCTATTTGATTTGCCTACCGAGACACTCAGGTCGAGAGCCCAAGGTGCAGCGACGGCTGCACGACTATTCCTTCAGTCGTGCAATGTCGTGAAGGGTTAGGCCCTCACGACACTTCAAGTCTGACACTTGAGTGTCATACGCGGTACTCGGATCCACGAGGGACCGCTTGATTATGGGCACTACATAGTACGCCATCGTTGCGATTGCTTGTGTACGCCTGCATTGCAAGTCGATATGAGTAAGCCCTGCGTCTGCACGGTTTTATACTAAGTTCAGCGCGCGACGCCTATCCGATTTCCGCACTGGAAAGTTATGGGTTGGCTACCGAGGGGCTAGGAGCGTTGTCACGTTGTTGGTATTGTGTCRTTTCGTATATATGTTGTTTTGTGTGTATGTGTGTTCGTAAAGTGAAGTGCGCGTGGTGTGTGGGATGTGTCCTAGTCGACCGACGATGAGTCGCGCTTTGGACCTCAGGCCCCCCAAGATGTCGGCTCGCGTGCGGGTCCGATAGAGGCGTATTACCGCACGTACCCCTTATGCTACAGCGAACGAGAAACGCCCTCGGCTGGTCCACCTCTTCGATTGCAACTGAT